GCTTTATATCGCTGTATTGGTTAATTGTTTTCGAGAGATCTGCGTAACAAGGGATGTAATTTGTCATACAATTTAAGTTAACTGAGTTATGAATTCAATTTATAATTTTCAAACTGAGCTTAGAAAAGAGAGTCTAATTATTTGATATCATCGATAAAAGCAATGACGACAATTATAACATTATTAACAGTTTTCATGACAGTTGCAAAAGAACTAAAATCTCATGTTGCAGTCAGTAATAAATGTTTCTTGGATAGCAGCAATACACTCTCATCATCGCTGACATTTACTATTTTGGAATTCGATTTTGCAATTTTTGGCAGTTTATTTCAGTGAGGTTGAATTTCTTCTAAACTCATTGAAATTTGTGATAGAAACAGCACTTGGCTATTAACAAAATGTTGGCTTGTTCTTATTATATTATTGTATTATTTCTGTCAATACCCTTAACTTGTCAAGAAAGAAACACCACGGATGTGGCTGATATAAGAAACGAGAATCACAAGGCTTTAAAATACGTAGCATTTCTTTACTTTATCAATGTCTTTTGTGCAGTATTACTAACAACATACTGATGAGATTTTTTGGTGTTATGCATGGAATAATGAAATAGGATCTCGGTTCAATGAAGAATTCAAGCTATAACGATGGTTCTATATGAAAGGATAAGGTTAAGATGCTTCTGGATGAAGTGACAGGAACAAAATGGTTGTCGCTTCATGGATTAAATAATAGGGTCAAGATGCTACATTATCAATATTATTAAAAGACGTAATAATATTAATATTAATATGGATTAGTATTAGTATGTCACTTGGAATAGTGTACTTCAAAGAGTTTCAATGCCTGTCTTTTGAAATATTAAGACTTTCAAATGGGCCAATTAATAATTGCATAAAAATTGAAATGAAAAAGATTTTCAGATATTAAATCATAATATGCGGGTGCTGTGCTACTACTGATATTAACGCCTTCTTTATTAACAGCAATCTCATTTGATTAAGTTTTAGTTTCATTCTAGTCAAACAGTTCTTCATAAATTTAATTATTCATGAAATATGAAATCAGCACTTCATTACAATAATATTACGGTAATACTTTTGTACTGTACAACAATTACTTTCTTTCAAAAAGCAATTTTAATCAATTAAAACTCCTTAAAGTACTGTATAGTACATTTCGTTCATTCAGTTACATGCAGTACTACCATAGTGTTACGAAAGTTTTTGTTTAAGGCTTTTATGTCATGATATTTAAATTTTGATGTATGTTTGTCGAAAGTGCTCTACGAATGTGATTAATCATAACTGTAAGGTCTGTGAATTTGCAAATTGTAATAATGGCAGGAAGACTTTTTTTTTGTTAAATTTGGACAATAGATCAGCAAAGGCAAACTTCTTAGCCCATATCTTCGTATTTTATTGCTTTATTGAATTCATTTTTGACTTGAAAAGTCGTTTAACAATAATATTTTTTAATACTTGGATTAAATGAATCGTATCAGTTCCTGGCAAGTTATAAGTTATAATACAACTGGCAATATGTTTTCTTTAAATGAAAGGCGTTTTAGAACGAGTGTAGTTGATAGAATTAATTATGAATCCACTTTGTTCAGTGTCAATATGAACAGTTGGAATTAGAAATTAGAAATTTATGAAAATAGAAATTCATGAAGTGTTGTCTGTCATGACATAATATTTGTTGTTTATATGACTTCCTGATAATGGAGCAATATTTTTTGACATTGATCCTTTCCTTCTTCAGGAACAAACGGAACAAAAAGCTTCTGCCGCGTTTCGAGGAACATCGGATGCAGGAGGATTTATTCTGAAACCGTTTCTAATAATTTGCAAAAATATCTGTGTAATTTTATGTGATTGATGAAGCAGCCCTTCTGCATTTTATACATTATTCGATTATTGATATCTACAGAGGATTGCATATATATAT